TTTTTTTTATGGCTAACCCAATCCCGTGCACCAACGATGGGCGGAATCGGTCCTTCTTCCACACGCCGATTGGTCCTCAGAAGGAACCACTGGCTCCACTCTTGCACACAGTCCACAATGTCCTTCACGTACGCTGATTGGCGTTCTTCCACAATATTGTTTTGTGATTGGCCAATCTTGCCAAATATCCTGCCTCGGTGGTGTCAGGTTTTTGTGCAGATTCGGATTCATGCTCTTGAAAAATGTCTAAATTCTGAGCAGCAAGCATTCAATATTTTTTTTTTACTGTCCTGTTCAGTCTTTTCGAGTGCAAGGTGAAGCTGCAACTCATTACACTGGTCCAGAACATCAATTCGAGGTGGATACTGACTGATATCATGCTGTGGTGTTATTGTGCGCCCTGGTGATTACATGCTTATCGCACCGCCAAAAACTGCCAATGTACCCAGGGTAGGAGACGAGATGCTATTGCCAGGGGGTAAAAGCGTTGCTAATGACAAGGGCAATCCTTCCTAGAAAAATTTCACTAAGTGTGCTTACGCATACTTTTGTTATTGTGGATCTCGCCCGATCGTCACGATACTGTTGTGTAATACTGAATTTACTGTACACGCATGCGGCTGAAGGCGTGGTGCTGTTGTCTCCATTTCGGCGTGCTGTCTACCAGTATTGTCTTGGTAGATTGTTTGTCTAGCCTTAATTCGCGTGAATAAGCATCGTTATCGTTGCACTCACCATATATCTCCAAGTCGAACCGACATCACAGCGGGTTGAATAACGCTAATTGTAGCGACTTTACTAGACGGCGGTTGAACGGACACGGTTACAGGGCGACATCCAACTGCAATTATTAAAACGCCAAAAGCTCCATAACAAGCCCATTAAGGATGGTTGAAGCCGCAGCCTTAATAACAAAAAAAACAAGTGAAATTATTTCATTAGCCACTCCAACTTTTCCAAAATCTAAGCCGCAAAAGAACAACATTTAAGCAAAAAATGCGCTTTAGCCCAGGCGGCAAGATCGGCCAATCACAAAACAATATTGTGGAAGAACGCCAATCAGCGTACGTGAAGGACATTGTGGACTGTGTGCAAGAGTGGAGCCAGTGGTTCCTTCTGAGGACCAATCGGCGTGTGGAAGAAGGACCGATTCCGCCCATCGTTGGTGCACGGGATTGGGTTAGCCATAAAAAAAAATGGCCCAACTCTGGCGGACACCCGACTGGGGGCCAGTCGCCGATTTTCGATCGGCTCCGACACTTTCGAAGTGCTGCAAGATTTCATCCTCTTCGTGACTGCTACAGCCAACAATGAACGCGGTGACGGGCCACTTTGAGCGTCGCTCTTGCCGACACTCGACGCTGTTCATGGCCGAGTACAAACGGTACGGGCCTGAGTCATCTGTACATTGGGAGGAAAAGGGTCCTCAACAATTGAGTCTGCAAATTGTTCATTGTTGGTTGCTGCCTCAGGACCAATCGCACCAAGAAGACCAAGGTGCGCTATTCTATCCACTGCACTACCATATTGCAACTACCCATCGCAACCAGTCAGTCTCACGTCCTTTTGACTTCTTATATGCCGTGCTGCACTCGACGAAACCAGATCCTGCGCTGCTTCCCGCATTGCTGTCCCGAGCATCTCAACCGCAGCTACTGTGGAACGTCACTCTGCGTTCGCGTCAAGCTTGTCGACCCCGCATGTCTGGACGTCCAGCAGCAGACTGAGACGACCACCGTCTCAACGAACAACCCTGCCAGCTTGTTAGTGTACGCTCACTTTGAGGAAGCCCAGACCAACTTCCTGGCCATCAACGACGTGATCGACTACAATGAGGTGAGTAGCTCCATCCAGACGGAGCAGACACCCAAGGGCACGTGGATAGAGGGCACCGTCGTACGCGACGCCGACGTCAATGTACGTCTACGTCAATACTTTTTTTTCCAATGAACTTGTAGTAACAAACAGCTACCAGACTCTGACTTGAGTGACATTCCCTTTCGACCTAACAGCACAGCAGCTTGTTCCAGATCAACCCTGGTGCTCGATGGTACTATGAGTGGGAGAGTGCCGCCACCAAGGCGCAGCGCTTCACCAAGCACGCATTGCGAGTGTACATCTTCCAGCGTGTCCAGTCGCAGTTGCGTGTGGTAGGTCTGATCTCCTCGTCCGAGTTCATGGTCGTATCTTATCGTCGGGCTCCCGGTGAAGTGCGTGCCGAGCGTGAGGCAATGGAGGCCTTGCGCACGGCTGTCGGCACTCAGCAACTTGTTCAACCGGATGCTGATGGACACAGCAGTAGCCGCATTACAACCCCATCCTATGAGCGTAAAGCTCCACCAACTCCGCTTCGACAGATAGCAGGCCGTGAAGAGATGCTCTGGCAGAACCGCAAGTTGTGGGAATGTCGACATCCAGACATTATGACGTCGTCCAAGCATCTCGCTATCCTCTTCTACTTCCTGCGGTATTTGAACGCATCGTCACACGGAGCTAGTTTGGAAGTTCTAAGTGGACTTTTCAAGGACCAAGTCGAAGGTTATCGTTCAGTAGACGGCAAGGTATGGGAGGGGGATAACGACACATACCAACAGTTCTCTACACCACTATCGTGGGCCTTTCTCGAACCCCTCAAACGAGGGGAAAGTAAGTCGCACAGGTGTGACGATGCAGTTGAGAACGAGGAAGGAGGACAATGTTCGTTCACACGGCTGGTAGAGGTCTGCACTAGTCTGGCCGGTTGGCTGACTCTGGACTGCGCCAACCTGGAAATTTATCGTCGCATCCTCCGATCCTACAGCCCAGCGCTCTTAGATAAAGATCGAGTGCGTGCTGGATACGTGGAGGCAGTCGAGATGATGTGTAAGCTAGTTGATCGCTTCACTGGCTGGAACAAGGACTCGTCCACTTCGTCATCCACATCTCTGTCTCTTTTGAGCGAAGAGATCATGATGGCCGTGTTCAAGTACGACCACCTCAAGACGCTGCGACGTGTGCTGATGGATGTCCTCTCGTCGAACTCAATGTTTGGTATGCACGAGTTTGTGGCTCAACTTCGAACTCAGTATGTACTAGAGCAGATGTCCGCAGTACCAAGTCGCACCGTGTTGGCGTGGCTAGATGGAAGATACGCTTCAGTATTTGATGGATCATGGGTTTTCAACGGACATCGATCTCTTGTCACACCGATTCGAGGCTCAGCAGCTACTGATGTCTCGTTAGGGTGTCTACTAACATTCATGCGTGAGCTCGCTCGAATCAGCATTCGCCCAGTGGATGGGCAATCGCTGGAGATATACTCCGACTGGAACCTCGGCAATATCTGCGCTAGAAAGAATAAGCGGGTAGCTAGCAGCCACTCAGGCATGAGGTTGGTGCTGGATGGCAGACAACGAAGCTTCAGCAAATTCCTAAGCGGGATCTCTAGCTCCATTCCTCTTGGTGGGTATAACTACGGAGACTACCGTGGTAAGCTTACCTCTCCGAGTAGCTTCGTGGTTGAAATGAGCTCGTGGCCAGTGGATAGCAACAGAATGCAACCAGCTTTCCGATGGAAGTTGCAGGTTGACTTGGAACCAGACAGCCACGTTCAAAATCGCGAGGGCAATTTAAGACACCTCCTTGTGAACGGTATCGTCGAGGAGGGTTTCTGGAGAATGGATAGCAACAACCAAGACCAGGATTCCCAAGCAACGCCATTTAAACTAAAGTATGCGTCTGTGGAGGCGTGGTATCCGGTGTACGAGATCGTAGGTGTTTACGACCGAATAGGATAAGCATGAAAAAGTGGTAGTGTTTTTATTAGTAAACAGTGGGCCACTGGCCTCGCCGAATGCTTGTTGCTCAGTTTCTCTGCTTCATTGATGACTGGAAAATATAATCAATAGTCTTGTTTCCGTAAAGCTGCAGTGGTACGTATAACATGCCTGGCGATGCTTGTAGAGTCTTTAGTTTCGAATATCAGGATTACATATAATATCAAAGTACTATGGCCTCACCAACAAGCAAAGCCATTTCATCTACTGCCACAGGAAGAGATACAGCGTCGGGGACAAAAGTCAGCATGGTATGATTTCGATTTCAGTCACGATAGGCAACAACATCACTATGTTGTACACCACGTAATAATCTAAACATCTCTTCATTCACGGAAGCTCGTATCTCAAAGTGCAATCGGAGTCTCGTCTGACACAGTGTATCCCATTTCGCGCACAAGTTTGTTAAGCTGCCGTGTGCTTCCCCAGCTCTCTCAGTCCGCAGATTCACAAGTGAATTTAATTTCGGGTTTGTCAAGATGTGCTCGTTCAAACAGCGTTTGGACCTCTCTGTATATACATTTAGCTAGACTTAAAGCTTTCTAGGCCATCACCACCAGCGCCGCTTTTCTCGTCGAGGAATCTTCGATAATACGTCCACCACCTCGTATATTATAAGGCCCCATTGTTGGAATGTTCCACCTGCACAGCAAAAAATTGAGAAAGACAAATAGGTTCGGTGGGTTTGAAGTCACGCTGTTTCGCCAGGGGGAATAGCATAAATGTCAGGACATGAAAGGATGTCGCGAAACTAGCATCACGCCCTCAATATTCGGCAAAGTACAGTGGCTTGTGAGTTCCCTCAATCCCGTAATGATTTTCCATTATTCTTGCTCAAATATGTGAGAAGTGCCCGTTGATTCAAGCGTAACCTTTATTTTTCTAGACTTCTGCACTCCGTCATCGGTAAATGTGCACGATGGTTTTTTGTGAACTTCATGCACTTGCATTCATATGCTACTTTACGCAGAGCAGCAAGGGGAATACCGACAGAAAGAATCAAACGCCACAGTAAAATCAGGATTCGGTATTCTCTCATTAAACAGCAGCTTCTGGTGATGTCTTGGTCGAAGTGAACAAATTGAACTGAAATGACAGCTTCGTTGCCAATGGGTGACGATATTGCAACCGTTCTGATACCGTGAGAAGCAAACACATTCACGTTTAGTTTAAAGGGCCTTCATGCTGGTGCCGCGATGAAAAAAAAAAAACAACGCTGGCAGCACGATAAAATCGACGTGTATTAGTATTCGTGCCAGAAAAAAAATCAACATGACAGCATTCTTCCCTTCGTCTTTGGTCTTCGGGATGTAGTGCCATGTTGACTGCCATACGTCCCGTCTGGCATCGACTTATCACATCGTGTAATTTATCAAATCTTTGTTAAGCACATTCTCCGTCCACAAGTCCACTAAACGTCCAACCGAAGTTTAACCAAACGGTCGCACCATTTAATTGACGACGATACTGTTTCGCTTCATTGAAATAACAAGGCACTTGTTACCAGAACGTCTCAGCGACTTCATCAATGCAGTCTCCAGTCATAAACACCCAGCACAGAAGGTGAAAATCCATTGTAAGTTAATCTCCGTTCCCAATCAAAACATATTCCGAGAAGGTGTCCGTCTTCAGTAGGAGGAAAAGCTTTACGCTGCCAAGAAGATGCAATTGTAAAGGAGAATGACGTTAGTCCACCAGAAAATACTTTAGTGTACAGTCGCCATATGACGTGCGGAGAACGTCAACCAACAAAACTGCAGTTGCCACAATAGCGTCAAGGTAGATGCTACAAGTCCTCGTGTGCGCCTCCACTGCTGTCCAATTGATATTCCTGACACCCGATAGCCTCGCCACCTCACTATTATAATAGCTCCAGTTATGCACCAAGCTCGTACATCAGCGTACATCGCACACTCTCCATTCCACCAAAGAGATACTCGCCTGTATATCTCAACTCCCACCAAGCATGCAATAACAGTGCCTCTAGTGCCTCTATTGCTGAGCCGTGACATGCCCAGTGGCACAGAGACTCAGATCCATGTGGCGTGCGCAAGAGCCCAGCCAGCCCTGCTGCAACTTTCGTCTTCGCCTTGGCAGCTCGAGAATGTGGCCACACGCGTCCATTCTCTAGCGCCGATGCCGCGGATTGCTTCCTTACCCGTCAGACATGGCGACACCGTTCGCGAAGTTCATCACCCGTGCCTAGATGAGCTTCCCGATCGTTTTCGATGGTCGAGTGGATTTGGTTGTAGCTGATAAAAGTTCTTAACCGATATTTGCCTTCAAGAACTAATAACCGTTGTTTTGCGATGAATCAGGGCATATTACGTGTAGCTAAGTACAACCGGGCTTCCCTCGATACAGTTCTCTGTGCGGCATGAATTTCTGAAACAAGGTCGCCGTCGATTAAGAGGAAACCCCTGACGACAGTCTCCAGGGTCCGCGGCACCTCAGGCGAGGCGTATGGAAAAGTCAACACTGTCAGATATAGGTCGTCTACTATGAGCGACGTTGTTCCGAGTAGTGAGTCTTCCGCCAAGCACAAGCAGTTCATAGTGGTCAGAATGACCGCGTGAAGGCTAATGCGACTTCAATCCGAGCTATTCATTTTCAAGCAAGATACGCTAATTGAGTCATTTCATACTAACGAAAGAACACACAAGGCACTTCATCGACTGGCATAAAGAAAATCTGAACTCCAGGCATTAAAATACATGTTTACTTCGGAGGCAAAAGCCAGTACCATGTATCATGCGTTCTCGAATTAACCATGGTTGGCTAATCTCGTTGTCCTTCAATTAATGCATGACAACCTCGTTTGATACAGGTTCCACCTTTGGTATTCCTACAGATCCACAACTTCGGGTTTGTCGAGCTAATAGTAATCAGACAGCGTCCGAATCGCCCTACATGTCTATAAGACATGTTGTAGATCTCAGCCCCTCTCTGTTATCAACACGATCTCCACAATAATGTGCTCGACCCCTACAACTGTATAAGGCAACTCCACACAATCCAAGTTGTTTTACGAGAACACCATAAGCGCTGGCAAATGAGGAACAGGGAACCTACCATCGCATCCTATGTAGGGAATACTGGCTTGCGAGTCTCATACACTCACGTTAAAATCCATTACGTTGTCTTGAAGGGGAGAAGACTTGTCCGAACGGGTGCGAAATTAAAAATTGTTTGATCATGAAAGCTCTTCTCAGCGAAATTTTTACTGCCGCATCCCACGTATCGACGAATGAGCGTGACATCGATTTCTGCTATCTTAATTCATTTTGAGCGAGTATTTTAACTTGCATGGACCAGGAAAAAAAGCGGCACATTCGACTTTCAATCTTGTAGCTCAACGAGCAAATGATTTTGTTGGTTGTCCTGATCGAAGTGAGAAAACTGAACTGAATGGTTAAACAACGACAGCTTTGTTGTAATCAGGCCGCAATACGGACCACTGACACAAATAACGTACTTTCAATTAATTCAATAAACCATCAATGCATGCACTGGGCTGCAAAAAAAAAATCGGTGAAATCGACGAGCATAAGGCTAATCGTTGCATGCGATCACACAGACCAGAACGAAAATTTAGCAATCTGGTGCTCTTCGAGACAGGGAATAAAACGCAACACGCCAGCACCCTGGCCTTTGTCCTCTGTCTTCGAAAGACCAACTTTGCATGATGACCAGCGTCTGTCTTGCTACATCGTGTAATTTATGTCCACCTTTAGTGTCCAACGGAAAACGTCAGACCACCACGCCATTAGCCCAAATAATAGCCACAGTGCCTAATTTTTATTTAATGATCTGAGCACCGTCGCTAATCCCCATTCACATGTCAACTCGTTGATCAGTGATGATATCTGTAGTCTCGTCTGATACATGTAGCCGATCAAATTTGACTTAACACATTTTGTTAAGTCGTATTTTCCGTCCACAAGTACAGTGCGTCCAACTTCAAGTTTACCAAGACTTTTAGATGTACGTCAGGCGTTTCAATCACTTTTCAGCACTTCTTTCAGACTGTCGATGCGATTCACAAGAACTCGGAGCACTAAGGACGCGCCCACCTGTACTGGGAAGAAGTAAACCAGGCACACGGCAGATTAAATGCAGCATCCGTGTCGTCCATCAACGAGTAGTTTCTCTTTAGACCGAATTGATCACAGTAGACTGGCTTGCATAGCAACTTCGTTGCGACCTTGCGGCACGTGTCCAAAATGCATGGATTAGTACTTTTCTGCTAGCATTCACTTCAAAAAGACCAGCATACAGACATTGGGCCAGCTAGCTATCCACGGCTAACACACGATCACGGTGAACTCGCCAATGATGAAGCCAAAAACCGCAGGTAACACGGTCGGAGAGTAATCTTGCAGTCTCGTGTATTCGTGACAGGGAATGAAAAAGCGCATCACAGTCTTCAACTTTAATGTGCAGCAAGCCACTATAATAGCTGAATCATAAGCCTGCCGTAATAGTCTCGTGTGGCGACAAGTGGTTATTCCCCCGACGCTGCAAGTGATTTGAATGTCCAAGTCGAAACTTCGATAGTAACCGAATCACAGAACGTTAACAACCGGCCGGAGAACAAGTAATCTTAAAGTTTAGTGTCTTCGTGCAGGGGATGAATATGCGCATCACAGTCTTCGACTCAAATGTGTACCTGTTGAAGCCACCAGATACATCATGAGACTGCCGTAATAGTCGTCTGGTGGCAAGCTCTTATACGGCCCGTTATTTTTTGTTAAGCAAATGTTTCGTCCATAAGTACGTTGAATGTCCAACTTGAAACTTCCCCAAGGAATCGAATCGCAGGACCTTAACAATTGGTCAATTGATTGCTGATGTCCATTCACCCTTCCAGCAGCACTCACACCATACGAACAGACGAGAAAGGAGTTTGCACATTTCTCCACCGTCTTTTAGTGTCTCGCAAGTCAGAACATCACGTCTCAGCACACCCGCATTTCATAAATGTAGTGTCCATCCATATTCACACACAAAAAACATCCATAGTGAGTTCATCTCTGGCGGAAGATAATTTACCAGAATGAACTCGAAGGATCAAAGTTCTGCACAGCCTAGAAGATTCAGCTGTAAAGGGGGGTGCTGTTAAAACTGTGGTGTTCAGTCACTACATGACTTTGTATGACGCCAACACAAACTGTAGTTGCTACACCGACATCACAATGGATGCCACAACTACTTGTGTTCATCATCAGTGTTCCCCAATTGACACTTCAAACGTCGATAGCACGTTACCCATAACACCAATAACCGGTGTTAGAACCTTCTCCCTTGGTCATAGAGATAGCGTTGACTGTGCAGCTCTGAGCAACAATTCCCACCTTGGATGCGGCAGCAACGCCTTCATTGCAGAGATTCCATGTGGCGTGTTCTAAGTGCAGCCAGCGTCGTCGTCTTTGTGCAGTACAGCTTCCGATGGGATCTAGACGTCTCCACTCTCTGGAGCTGACGGTTTCTCGGGATTCCTCTCCTGTCAGACATGGCGATGGCGTCCAATCCGTCCCCACACAGCATCATCCTTGAGCAGTCACTGCTACAGCTCCCCGTCCGTTTTAGATGGTCGTTGGACCGCGGACAGGTTCATAACAGATAATAGGTTCTTAACTAAAAAGTCTTCGAGTTGAAGCGATACATATATAATATATTTTGGCTCACAGTGCCACTGCATATTACATTCGAGCTTTGTGCATCTAAGCGCAGACGGATGCAATTCCACGTTCGCTCGAATGTCTCGTCGATAGCTTTATGAGCCTTCGGGAAGTGCGTAACTGGAAACCGACTAAATCTTCATCGTCAACGGCAGGGTGACGAACTCAAGGCAGCTAGAGCAGGGGTCGGAAAAAATAGTGCAATACAATAAATAATTGTGTTTTCCCGTAAAAATATGTATTATTGCACAAGCCAAATCCTCCTACAATACACTATTGAGCCAATAATTGACAATAAATACGAAGAAAAAAAAACTCGTTTTGCACCGCTGAGCGTCAACAGGGATGACATCAGTGATTCAGCTCTCCTGCGTCACCTAAACGACTGGTTGAGAGCCTTTCATTGTTAACTGCCTTGGAATTAAATCCTCATCAAAACAGTTCATTACGAGATCTTCTCAGCTCGCCAAACATGGTCGCCAACAAGCAACTCTCCGCCTACTTCTTCGAGCATCTCGG